GTTGAAAGGATTCGCTTGAACTCGAGAACAAACTTTGTAAAAAAGGTCTTTGAGGATGCAAATGAGCATGATTGGTCTGCTTATAGATGAGGAAAAAGAGTTTGAGTTTTAACCTTAAAAACAAATCCGTTCATTTTGCTGTTTTTAGCAATTTGATGAGTAAAATATTTAAGTAATAAAAGCCTGCTTTAAAAAAAAAAAAAAAAAGTCAGTTGAAAAAATATTTATATGACCGTTCTTGTGGTTTTCCTCTGGAGGGAAGGCCAAAACCCTCTCAGTGAGAGGCCCTGAACCTACATTTCACACTTCAGATGCTCAGTTTGTGACAATGATCTTTATCACCTTAAACCTCGAGTGACTGTAAAGATTGTCTTTGTTGCTGGGAGGAAGATGTGTAGAACATGAGGCTTACAATCTGTCATAGCTGTTTTCTGTCTGCTTTTTTAAAAAAAAAATAAATACAGTTAAATCTCTTTAAAGTCTGTATTACTTTGTTTTACATGAGATGCAGGCTGAAGTGAAGGGTTGGTGGTTGGGGACACCATATCTAGGTTATTCTGTTGTTGTCATGGCAACAGGTGGGGTTGGGTGATGTGAGGTGGCCTGATAACTGTCAAGAGATGTCTGTGGTGTTGGGTAAGTGAGCAGGGTAATAATGAATTGGCATAAGTGCATTAGACTGAATTAACCTTCGCTAAACACAGCTGTAAATGGAAGTTGGTAAGCTGGAGTTTCACACAGTGCTTTTACTTTTATTTAAAATGTATGTGTGTTCTGTGCAGGAAATAAATGAAAACTCTGAGAAAAACTCGGATGAAGATGATGCTTTTCAGGAAACTGAGTGGATGGATTTTGCGGAAGGATACTACAGCAGAATGCAAAAGAAGGTAAACCTGATATTTAAAAAAAAAAAAAAAAAAAAAATTCTCATGCTGTGGATTCTTTAAAAGCACTTTTTTGCTTCCTCTTACGCTTTCATTGCCTTTTCTCCATCCTCAGTGGCCGTATCGGTCTCGATCTCTGTGCTGCAGCCTGTGCAAGTATTCTTCACAAAACATCTACAACTTCAGGAGCCATGTCTCCCGCTGCCACGGTTACGTCCAGTCCTTCTGTGCGCTGACACCCTGCTCACAGTGCGTCTTCATCGGCCACCCCAAGGTTGTGAAGAAGCACATGCTGTTCTTCCACGCCAAACTCCCTGTGTCAAACACCCAGATACCGCTGCAGAGGGAAACATCTTTACCCACCCATCGTGGAAACGAGAGGTATCAGTGTCGAAGATGTGCATTTCCCACCTCTTCTATCTTTGCAATGAAGAAGCACATTATTCTGAAGCACATGGAGAGTTTGGCAGAGCAGTACATCGGTTACAGGTTGCACCTTCAGGGGAATTCATCCGTCAAAGTGTATTGCTGCAAGATGTGCAAGGTGAACACTGGAACTCTAGACCAAATGTTGCATCACATGCTCATCGAGCCATCACATTATACAGTAAGCACACAAGTGCAGGTTCTGATTTATGAGAATAAGAACTACATTGTTAAACCGACTCCTAATGGGAATGGTTTGTTTGTGACATTCCCAAGTATTGCTCCCAAACCACAGCAACCTCAAATGCTCAATAGTAAATCTTTGGTCTTGCCAAGTAACGGCCAAGCTGCTGGGACTGTAGTGACATTACAGCAAGTACAAGGGACTGCAAACAGTACCACTCTGATCTGTGCCCCTGGAACAAACCAAGCTTTCCTGCCACCTCAGGCCTCAGCGCTAGTGCAGCTAGCTAGTGCTGAGGCTAAAGGTTTGCTTCAGCCCGGTGCCACGATAGCCCTCCGAAGTGCTTTGCCCCAAGGACCGCCTATGGTCCAGCTTCCCACAGTTTCTAATCTTGCTCTAAAACAGGCGCCAGTGACCTTATCTCCCGCTTCAGCGCCTCCTTCAGCTCCTGCTCATGCACAACAGACCCCACAAGCGCAGCAGATCCTCCTTCCGTCGGGACTGCAGGCGAACGTAGCAGCTGGACCTGGGACTGTACCCAAGCCTGCTGCAGTTACACACAGTTTAGCAACAAACCAAATCGGCCTACAAGGTACTATGTTGACTTCACAGTCTCTGCTGAGTCACCTGATCCCGACTGGCAACAAGGTGAACGGCATGCCCACCTACACTTTTGCTCCCCTGCAAGTAGCAGTGCCAGTCTCTCACAGCACAAGTACTGCCCTCAAGTCAGTTGAACAAATAAATTCCACGCCACAAACTAAGAAATGGATAACCTGTCCCCTCTGCAATGAACTCTTCCCTTCCAATGTCTTTGACATGCACACCGAGGTCGCCCACCAGACAAAATCTTCCTCGTCCAAGTCAGAAAGTGTAGCTGCGCGAGCTGCATTCCTGAAAAAAATGCCTGACAAAACTGTGAAATGTCTAACCTGCAAAATTCTACTATCAGAAAAGAGCGTCTTCCAGCACCTGCTGCATGGCTTGAATTGTTTGTACTGCTCAGCCTTGTTCTTCTCAATCAAACAGCTCATCGAACATGTAAAGCAGCACAATCCTACGAGCAAGGCATACTGTGATTTCCTGAGGCAGAAGTACAGAGTCTACTCAAAGGGTGCTGGAGGGATCCTGTTCCCTTATTTTGACGTTCACACCTCTGCGCCAAGAGAGATCCTTGGTGACGCAGAGGTCAAGCTCGCCTTGGTCACAAGTTCCCTAGATCTGATTTTCTTTAAGTTGCAGCCCAGCAACCACCCGGAAATCTGCTCCGTACCCGTCAAAGTCAACAGCTCCTACTGTCCCTTTTGTGATGAAAAGTTTCAGCAGGAGTCAGACTACTTGCAGCACCTGAAACAGAAGCACTTTGTAGCACCCACTATCCACGCTATTCTCAAGACGGAGGCTTTCAAGTGCATATACTGCAACGGCGTGTACACAGGAAAGGTCACCCAGCAGGCTGTGATGCTCCACATTCAACGATGTCGTTGTTCACCCAAGCCACAACAACCACCCACACCTGCTGCAGCACCCCAGCCGCCACCAAAACCAGCTCAGCAGGTCAATCAGGCTTCCGGTCTCTACTTCCTTCAAGTACCACAAGGGCTGACTATGAAACAGACATTGACTCCAGCTCGTGTGACTCAAGCTCGCGTGGCTCCAGCTCGGGTTGCTCCAGCTCGCTTGATTCCTATCGTGCGCCCCACAGAGCCTCCGGAAACCGAAGCAGAGCTGCAGTCGAAGAGGAGACTGGAAGCTGCGTGGCGGGAGGTCCTCGAGGCCAACAAACGAGAGCGAGAGCAGAGGGCAGCCATGCGCAAGAAGCGAGAGCAGGAGAAGTTGTTGCCTCCACCAGAACCCGAAGTTCAGAGCGACACGACGGTCAAGCTGCTGCTGGAGCCCACCCCAACGGAGCGCCGCTGCAGCGAGGAGCGTAGAGACTTCATATCCAAATACTTCAACGTGAACCCGTACGCGACCAAAGCAGAGACCGAAGAGCTGTGCAAGAGGCTGTCTCTCACCAAGGCGGAGCTGGCGGCGCTCTTCAGCAAGAAACGCAGCAAGTGCATGAAGAGTCTCAAGAGGAACACTGCAGGCATCCTCCTCGGCTTCAACATGGCCGAACTGAGCAAACTCAAGCACAACCTGGTCATCCCGGAGCCGCAGCCTACCGAATCAGCAGCTGACACGACAGAGGAGATGGAAAGCGGCGAAGACGCTCCAGAACCGATGGACGAAAGTGGAAATGAAAAAGTCACAGATGGGGAGCAGATGGAATGAGCTCAGAAGTGCGTGAAAGTGGAACCTGAAAAAGTGCAAATAAAAAATAAAATAATGCATTTAAAAGAAGAAAATAAGCTCATTAATAATGACCACGTTTGTGTTAACAGTCATCTGAGAGGTTGATCATGCATTGTAAATGGATGATGTATAACCTTACATAGAAGCTTACCTGTAACAGAGGGTGGTTTATTAATGTAGCCTTCATTATTAGTGCTTCGTTTGACTTCAGTACATCGTCAGTGGTCCATATTTTTCCACAGAAGTGCAAAGCCTTGTGGGAAAGCAGGTCCAAGTGTATTGTCTGATACATTGCATTTAGCTAGATACGATATCTCTTTCCACAATGGTTTCAACTTAAGTGCTTCTGCCTCTTTTTGCTGCTTTTTGCAATCATTATTTTTGTTCATTTGTATTTGGTGCACACCACAACACAAACAAGCTGATCAAACCAAGTTTTCCCTTTTCATGTTTATTTGTTTGCTTTAACCGGTTCTCACCTTTGCCTTTTGATTTTTGCCACTGGATCTTTTAAGATTACTCACTCCACTTGTCCCTCAACATTTATACAGTTTAAGGAGATTACTATCTTTTTTATTTTTTTTTTCTCGCCCAGCTCACCAGCTCATGTGGACCTACTGAGATGAATGCTCATCTCACAGTGTGGAAGTTAATCTTTTAAAGAATGTATAAGTGTTTTGAGTTCTGAACTTGCTGTTGGCCATGTTCCCCGCATGAGCCTTTGTTTTACTTTCAGATTAAATTATAATTTGTGCCATTGTGAAGTCTGCGCATTTCCTCAGATTTGAGGAAATTGCTCGGGAGATTCAGCAGAACCTAGAACGTGTTAGTGGGTGTTCCCCACATCGGTTTTCTGTTTTGTTTTCTATATACTTGTATTTTCTATAAGTCCAAGAGTATAAATATATTGAAATATTGGGAGGCGTTAAAATAAATACATTGTCCAAAGCCACTGTGGTGTAAACAAAATAACACGGTTTCCTTTTACACGAATGGTCCATTTTTATTTTCATTTTGTAATAAAAATGTAATTTTTAATTAAGCTGTGTTAAAGCATCCCAAGGTATGTTTTTATTTTCCTTTTTTCCCCTGTGTGTAATTATAAACTGCAGGCCCCTCTTTCTTTTCCTTTTCTCACAGAAGTGAACAAACTGGTTTAAAGTCATAATACAGGCAGTGCATTATGTGTAATAAAAGGCGGACAAGTGTAGAGTCTTAAGGGTGTGTCATCAGTGTTTAATATACCCCAGAGGAACACTGTGGTAACAAGTGTCTGCGCTGCATATTTTTAGTCTTTGAAATGAAACACATTTTTCAACACAATCTATTTGCTCAGCGGTGATTAAGATGTTGTTTGTGCTGGGCTCAGCCAAACGTCTCGTTATTAAATTGCATGCATTATTGAGTTCTGTCCACACAGTGGTGCCACTTTCATAACATGAGAGAGTTATTTGTGAAACAAAAAACATTTTTCCCTGTCCTGTTAATTATATCTTAGTCTCAATCTTGTTATATAATGGTAATCATTTATAATCATGTTTGAGGTTAAAAGGTCCATAATCTGGACTGTTTAATCTCCGGTTCATGATCGTTGGAATTTGGTCCAGGATCGAGGGGCCGCTGTAGTTGTTGGTTTGAATGGCCTCCAGGCTCTTCTTGTACTCTACGGGGAGTCCGTTCTGCTCCGCGCCCAGACACACCACCTTACGTGAGACACAGAGCGTGATGCATACATGAGCAGATATTATGTTAAATATTATGTTTTCTTAAAAAAAAAAAGAAGAGAGAGAGTGTTGCATTGTGTTGCAATGTACAGTAGTTCTAACACTCCCTGGCCACTTTATTAGGTACACAAGTTCAGCTGCTAGTTAGTGCAAATCTCTAATCGCCCACCAATCTCATGGAAGCAACTCTGTGCTTTTACAGATGTAGACATGGTTGAAGATCAGAACAAGAAATATAAGTGATTTAAGTGACCCTGAACGTGTCGTGTTGGTGACAGATGGTCTGCTGATCTGGGATTTTCCCACATAAGCATCTCTACAGTTTACAGAGCATATTCTGCAAAAGAAGAAATTGAGACTGGGTGAAAATATCTTGTAGAGGTCAGAGGAGAATGAGGAAAATTAAACGTAATGAGTTGAACAACAGAATGCTGGGAAAACTGGCTTGGTCTGATCAGTCTGGAGTTCTGCTGCAGTGTTCAGATGGTAGGGTCAAAAATTAATGTAAAGAACATGAAAGCATGGATCCATCCACCCTTGTTTCAACAGTTCACGCTGGTACTAAGGGAGTGGGGGCTATTTTCTTTACACAGTTTGGCCTCTACTGAGCATTGTGTAATGCTACAGCCTACCTGAGTATTGCTGCCTAAGTACGTCGCCTTTATAACCACACTGTAGCCATCTTCTGATGGCAGCTTCCAGTAGGATAAGACACCACGTCACAAAGCTCAAATCATGTGCACTCAAATGACATCCACAGTCACCAGATCTCAGTCCAGTAATGCACTTTTTGGATGTGCAGCAACTGTCTGATGCTGTCATGTCAATATAGAGTAAAATCTCTGATGAATGTTTGCAGCACCTTGTTGAATCTGTGCTATGAATAATTAAAGCAGCTCTGAAGAAAAAAGGATGGTCCAACCTGGCACTAGTAAGGTGTACCTAATAAAGTGGTGGGTGAGTGTATCTTATTGCATTGCATACTCTAAGAATCAAGGTGTTTTCCTCGCACCTGTTTGTATTGAGGCGAGGGAGGACAGGCGTGGAAGTTGTTCATCTGATATGTCCTGCAGAGCACAGTCCCGTTATCAGTCTCCACTGAGACCTCCAGTGGAGAGTATACACCAGCATTCACTGATTCCTGGCTAAAGAAGAACAAAAATGTAAAAAAACAAAACAGTTGGTTAAAAGTACACAAATTAACTCAGAAATGGACCAATAGCTGCGTGTTCATGTGTGGCTCTCACTCATCAAGGCTTGAGAGGTGTTCGTTGTTCAAAGTCCAGATGACCCCCCACACTTCTGCGCCTGGATACGACTCAATGGTTGCCACGCCACCGTGCCAAGCATTGTCTATGTGTTCTTTCCACAGGCCAAAGTTCAGTTTGTAGTCCTATACACACACACACAGAACAATGCCCAGTCATTATGTGGAGATTTGCTACTTCTAATGCTCTTCATCTGAGTGGGAAACACTTTTCTTACCTTTAACATTATCTGCAGCTGGATACAAAGTAACAGCAATTCAACCAAGTCTCTTTGTTTTACTGTGATAATGTAAGAAGGGTGTTGTTTGTGATTTCAGCAGTGTCCCCCCCTCCCCGTGAGCTTGTTTTGCTGTTATACCAGAGTCAAACTGCAGTACACCCGAGTCCTGTTATTACAGCTGGCACATCAGAGGAGGAGGTAGAGCAGCAACCTTTATTGGGCCGATCTAAGATGCTAATGCAGGAGGGGGCTGACTCAGTTGTTTTCCATATCCTTCATTCCTTCAAGACTTTTGAGAAATAATAAATCGTCATTCAAACCGCTCGTTGACAAAGCAGGGTTGAAAATAACTAGTAAATATCTCCCTCTTGGTACAAACGTGGTTAATGTTTCAATTTGTTTTTGCTAGCTAATGATCTGACACACAAACAGGGGAGGTGCAACTCTCAGATGAACTCTGCTTCATCGGCAACCAGTCAAATCAATTATATAAACCACATTTAAAATTTTGGTATGATTTACGATAACTGTACTGTTTAATTTTCCATATAAACAAAAAGGAAGAAGGACTGCTACTGTTTACAGCTAAAGTATATAGTTTTTGATTTTATTATGAGCTCATCAGATTTCCTATAGTTTTGAATTTTCTAATTAATTTGAATTTTTATTCAGTTTAGTTTGGTTTTTTATTAGTTTCAGTGTCAGTTTTAGTCCTCCAGCATATGAAGGGTATGTGCTGGAGAAACAGAATAAAAACAGAACTTTTTCAAAGCAGTTGACTCACAGTCTTGTTGACATCCAAAGTCTCATCGGGCAAGGTGTAAATATAGATTTTTACTAAACTACAAACTACTCAAACTAGGGATATTTTCCTCTACGCTCTCTGTATTATTACTTATTATTATTTTGTTTGTTTTCCAAGTTAAACTTCAGTTTATTAATTTTTTCTACTTTTTATTATTGCTGAGCCAAAAAGTGATTTCCAATGTTTCTTTGTCTTTATTACATGTAATATTTTTGCTTATGTTGATAAATGCCCTTATGACTCAGCATTATTGTACCTACTCTGCGTCCTACATTATAATCAATCTAGTTCTTTTTTATCACTTAAAATATCTTTATTAAGCTGTTATACTACACTTATTGCAATTTCCGATTCCCTTGTGTCCATATCTCTTTAAAAAATAATGTAAAAAAGACTGATTAAACTGATAAATTAAGGCTATATTAACGTCACACTGAAAAACACCTGATTGTACCTTCTACCTAATAATGACTCGATATCATTCGTGAAACATTTTGGACAGGTTATAGACGCACAAATCACTTTTTGGACGACACCTCTGGCTAAAATACCCGAGGCCCTGCTGCGTTCACGTTGCCAGGGAACGAAGGTGATGTCAAAATCACTACACTGGAGGTGTTTGTATTAACCACGAGAACAGTTAAGACAGAGATTAATACGTTAACAATTTAACACACCGGCGATCGTGGCTCAAGAGTTGGGAGTTCGCCTTGTAATCGGAAGGTTGCCGGTTCGAGCCCCGGCTCGGACAGTCTCAGTCGTTGTGTCCTTGGGCAAGACACTTCACCACCTACCGCCTACTGGTGTAGTACTGGCGCAATATGGCAGCCTCGCTTCTGTCAGTCTGGCTACAACTGTAGCTTGCCTCCACCAGTGTGTGGATGACTGGGTGTGTAAAACTAGAGGGGACTAGTAAAAGCGCTATACAAATACAGGCCATTTACCATTTACAACCAAGCTAAAAATATGTTTATATTTGATGCAACCAAACAAGCCGCTTCATGGTCCCCGAATCTCTCATAATTTCTAAATGTTACAACCTCGACACAAACATTGCCAATAGGTGGTTTACAGAAGCAATAATTAAGACTAAATACAATAATAATAAAGCTGTTTTTATTGTACACACCTTCAGGCGACCGGTCTTATAAAATGTCGCCGACGGGTTAGCCAGCTGTAGTCTTTCTTTCAATAAGTTGCTTCCGAAGGCGAAATACAGGAAGAAACCAGCGGCTCCCGACATCTCCATCTTATTTCTTCTTGCAACCAATGTTGGTGTACCGGAGGTGTCCGTTGCACCTGCTTGCCCGGTGGACCCGCGCAGAGAATTACGTACGTAATTACATAATATATATTTTAAATGTAATCTTATTCCCAGTTTAACAATCTCATACATAAACTCTATATGCTTATGTTATATTATGAATGCATTATTCGCGCGTTCTTTATTTATATTTTAGAGTCATTTTATTACTTCCGGTTCAAGTAACCCCTCTCAGACACACAAACAACCACGCCACTATATTTAATGTTAATGCAGGTTTGTTATTGTCCATATTTAAGGGAGTTTTCTTTACGATGGGTATGATAAATGTTTTTTTATGATAAATTTGTTAATACTTTTAGCTAAATTTTTTATCCATAAATGTAAGTTTACTAACAAAACACCATATTTCTGTCATTTTTTTTAAGGATGTGGAAATGTACATTCAATCAATATCAGACTCCACCAACAAAAAGGCTCTCAAAACAATATATGTATGTGAATTTTTGCGTGTCCTCTTATAATTGTTACCTTTTTCTTTTACCCCTGGCTTTTTGTGTTCATGTTCTGTTGTTTTGTATACTTCATCTGCTCGTATGTTGTATACTCATTGTTTGTTAAATAAAGTTAAAAATATATATATATATTTAATGTTAATTAATTGCATTAATTATTTTATTAATAGAGATTGACAGACCACGTGACTTTCGCGCATTGCATGCCGGGAACTCGTGGCAAAACAATCCAAGTACCGCATCAAATGCAAGCATTTGCAGCACCGCAAAACGTTCATCGCAATGTTTGTGTAACCTCTTACGTACAATTAGGTGTCTGGAAAGCCGGTTTATCCTGAAATGGGTCAAAGGTCAACTATTATCAAATTTATTTATTTATTTTTTCACAGAAATGTACAACAATTATGGCAATCTCTACAAAGATTATATTTTCCCAACATGAAATAGTATCAGAACAGGCTGAATTCCAACATATAGAAGATAGATAATGAACAGGAAGTACAAACAACAACAAATAAATAAATAAAAACAAACCCCAAACAGAATAAAAGCAAACAAACAAAAAAACAAAACAAAAAAAAAAACGCTATACCTTAGGGGTTTTCTAGCAGATCTAGTTCAATAATCACATGATTCAGAACCAGAGCTCGTTTTTTGTCCATAAATTTAACAGATGAGAGGAAGAGGCAGAGTTCTTTGTGAAAAGTAAATAAGGATGGCTTTGTTTTCAGAAAACGACATTTGTGAATGAAGAATTT